CCAAGATCGCCCAAGAGGCCTCCAAGATGGCCCCAGGACGGCTTAAGAGGTTCCCCAGCCGGCCCCCAAAGGGCCCCAAGACGGCCCGAGAGGCCTCCAAGACGTCCAAGATGGCCTCCAAGACGGCCCTGAAGAGCCCCGAGAGGGCCCCAAGACGGTCCAGAGAGGCTCCCACGACGGCTTCCGACTGCGTCAGATGGGCCAGGAACGCCGTAAGACAGCCAAATAATGCGAAAGAGGCAGGCCCCAAGAGGCCCGAGGAGGCCCCCAAGAGGCCTCAACAGGCTCCCAGGAGGCTGCCAGGAGGCCCCAATAATGACCCAGGCCCATTGATGTGGCCTTTGGGTAGTTTGTTAATCAGCAGATCGTGGCTTCGGGATGCGTCCCCTTGTTTCGATAGCGTTGGACCGTGAAGTGTTCAGCGCGGTTTTTCCCTACCTAGGCTCTGCCTAGAAGGGTTCTTACTCTCTTGGTTTAAAGGGCCGGGCAGTGGGAACCGGCACGGGCGGTTCCCCCAGTATCCGCCCCGCGGTTCCCCCAGTTACGTCCCCTTAGCTTAGCGTTGCTTATCTCATCTTACCTTAGCTTATTTCATCTTAGCTTAGCTTAGCTTCATCTTAGCTTAGGTTTATTCCCTACCTAGGTTTTGCCTAGAAGGGTTCTTACTCTCTTTCTTAAAGGGGCCGGGCAGTGGAACTCGCCCCGGGCGGTTCCCCCAGTCCCCTGGGAGCGGTTCCCCCAGTCGCCTGGGAGCTTTAGCATGAAGGGATCGGCTCGGTTCGGTTCGGTCCGGTTCTGCAGCCGGGTCGGTTTTGCTTGGCCGGTTCGGTTTGGCATCGGTCCGGTTTCGGCCGGTTCGGCTTGGGCCTGCCGCCGGTTCGGTTCGGTTCCGGTTTTCGCGCGGTTGGGTCCGACCGGTTCGGTTCGGTTCGAGTGGCCGCTCCGGTTCGGTTCGGCCCGACTGGTCAGGTGCGACGTTGGGCGCCCCGTCTGCGTAAGCGACGACCCAGTATGAAAAAAAGGGAGGAGGAGGAGGAGGAGGAGGAGGAGGAGGAGGAGGAGGAGGAGGAGGAGGCGGAGGCGGAGGCGGAGGCGGAGGAGGGAGGAGGAGGACGACGAGGAGGAGAAGGAGGAGGAGGAGCAGGAGGAGAAACGTGGAGGCGTGGAGGCGCGAGGCCCTCCAGCGACGTGCCCCGACGGGGGTCGCAGCCCCGAGGGGGGTCGCAGCCCCGAGGGGGGTCGCAGCCCCGAGGGGGGTCGCGCCCGCGAGGGGGGTTGCACCCGCCAGGGGGGTTGCACCCGCCAGGGGGGTTGCGCCCGCCAGGGGGGTTGCGCCCGCCAGGGGGGTTGCGCCCGCCAGGGGGGTTGCACCCGCCAGGGGGGCACCCGCCAGGGGGGTTGCACCCGCCAGGGGGGTTGCACCCGCCAGGGGGGTTGCGCCCGCCAGGGGGGTTGCACCCGCCAGGGGGGTTGCACCCGCCAGGGGGGTTGCACCCGCCAGGGGGGTTGCGCCCGCCAGGGGGGTTGCGCCCGCCAGGGGGGTTGCACCCGCCAGGGGGGTTGCACCCGCCAGGGGGGCACCCGCCAGGGGGGTTGCACCCGCCAGGGGGGTTGCGCCCGCCACCCCGCCAGGGGGGTTGCACCCGCCAGGGGGGTTGCGCCCGCCAGGGGGGTTGCACCCGCCAGGGGGGTTGCGCCCGCCAGGGGGGTTGCACCCGCCAGGGGGGTTGCACCCGCCAGGGGGGTTGCGCCCGCCAGGGGGGTTGCGCCCGCCAGGGGGGTTGCACCCGCCAGGGGGGTTGCGCCCGCCAGGGGGGTTGCGCCCGCCAGGGGGGTTGCACCCGCCAGGGGGGTTGCGCCCGCCAGGGGGGTTGCACCCGCCAGGGGGGTTGCACCCGCCAGGGGGGTTGCGCCCGCCAGGGGGGTTGCACCCGCCAGGGGGGTTGCACCCGCCAGGGGGGTTGCACCCGCCAGGGGGGTTGCGCCCGCCAGGGGGGTTGCGCCCGCCAGGGGGGGCGGCACCCGCCAGGGGGGTTGCACCCGCCAGGGGGGGTGGCACCCGCCAGGGGGGTGGCACCCGCCAGGGGGGTGGCACCCGCCAGGGGGGTTGCACCCGCCAGGGGGGTTGCACCCGCCAGGGGGGTGGCACCCGCCAGGGGGGTGGCACCCGCCAGGGGGGTTGCACCCGCCAGGGGGGTTGCACCCGCCAGGGGGGTTGTTTTTACACCCGCCCAGGGGGGTTGCACCCGCGAGGGGGGTTGCACCCGCGAGGGGGGTTGCCACCCGCCAGGGGGTTCGCGACACCGCCAGGGGGGTTGCACCCGCCAGGGGGGTTGCACCCGCCAGGGGGGTTGCACCCGCCAGGGGGGTTGCACCCGCCAGGGGGGTCGCGCCCGCCAGGGGGGTTGCACCCGCCAGGGGGGTTGCACCCGCCAGGGGGGTTGCGCCCCGACAGGGGAGTTGCACCGCAGGGGGGTTGCACCCGCGAGGGGTGTTGCACCCGCGAAGGGGGTCGGCCCGCCAGGGGGGGCGCGACCGGCCAGGGGGGTCGCGCCCGCGGGGGGTTGACACCCGCCAGGTGGGGTTGCAACCGCCAGGGGGTCGCGCCCGCCAGGGGGGGTTGCAGGGGGGTTGCACCCGCCAGGGGGGTTGCACCCGCCAGGGGGGTCGCGCCCGCCAGGGGGGTTGCACCCGCCAGGGGGGTTGCACCCGCCAGGGGGGTTGCGCCCGCCAGGGGGGTCGCGCCCGCCAGGGGGGTCGCGCCCGCCAGGGGGGTCGCGCCCGCCAGGGGGGTCGCGCCCGCCAGGGGGGTCGCGCCCGCCAGGGGGGTTTCACCCGCCAGGGGGGTTGCGCCCGCCAGGGGGTTGCACCCGCCAGGGGGGTTGCACCCGCCAGGGGGGTTGCACCCGCCAGGGGGGTTGCCCCCGCCAGGGGGGTCGCACCCGCCAGGGGGGTTGCACCCGCCAGGGGGGTTGCACCCGCCAGGGGGGTCGCGCCCGCCAGGGGGGTCGCGCCCGCCAGGGGGGTTGCACCCGCCAGGGGGGTTGCGCCCGCCAGGGGGGTTGCGCCCGCCAGGGGGGTTGCACCCGCCATGGGGGTCGCGCCCGCCAGGGGGGTCGCGCCCGCCAGGGGGCTCGCACCCGCCAGGGGGGTCGAAGTCGCTGTCGCTGTCGCCGCCGCCGCCGCCGCCGTCGCCGTCGCCGCCGCCGTCGCCGTCGCGGGTCGCCAGGGGGGTCGCCAGGGGGGCTGCCAGGAGGGTCGCCAGGGGCCCCCCCGGGGCTCCCCCGCGGCCCCCCGACGACGACGGCGACGACGACGACGACGACGGACGCTTGCCGACGCCCGCGCCCGCCGACGCCGCCGCCGTCGAGGAGGAGGAGGGAAGCGGAGGAGGAGGAGGAGGAGGAGGAGGAGGAGGAGGAGGAGGAGGAGGAGGAAAGGAGGAAGAGGAGGAGGGGTCGCGGGAATCTTCGGGAGGTTCTGGGGTCATCGGGGTCCCGGAGTCCTGGGGGTCATCGGGGTCCTGGGGTCCGGACCAGAGGGGAAAGGGGTTCGGTTCGGTTCCCGTCGGTTCGGTTCAGGGGCCGCCCGGTTCCGGTTCGGTTCCGGTTCTGGTTCGGTTCGGTCCTCGCCGGTTCGGTTCTGAATGAATTCGGTTCGGTCCGGTTCGGTTTTCTACGTTCCTGGTTTTGGACCGGTTCGGTCCGGTTCGGTCACGGTTCCCGGTTCTCGGTTCGGTGCGGTCCCTTCATGCTTTAGCTTTAGCTTAGCTTTCGCTTAGCTTTAGCTAAGCTTTAGCTTAGCTTTCGCTAAGCTTTAGCTTAGCTTTAGCCTGCTTTAGCCAGCTTCAGCTTCGCTTCAGCTTCGCTTCAGCTTCGCTTCAGCTTCGCTTCAGCTTCGCTTCAGCTTCGCTTCAGCTTAGCTTCAGCTTCGCTTCAGCTTAGTTTCAGCTTAGCTTCAGCTTAGCTTCAGCCTAGCTTCAGCTTAGCTTCAGCTTAGCTTCAGCTTAGCTTCAGCTTAGCTTCAGCTTAACTTCAGCTTAGCTTCAGCTTAGCTTCAGCTTAGCTTCAGCTTATATTCAGCTTAAATTCAGCTTAGCTTCAGCTTAGCTTCAACTTAGCTTCAGCTTAGCTTCAGCTTAGCTTCAGCTCAGCTTCAGCTTAGCTTCAGCTTAGCTTCAGCTTAGCTTGAGCTTAGCTTGAGCTTAGCTTCAACTTAGCTTGAGCATAGCTTGAGCTCAGCTTCAGCTTAGCTTGAGCTTATCTTTAGCTTAGCTTTATCTTAACTTTACTGTTATTATTAATGCTGCTTTCCTAGGGGCTCCAACTCCTAGGTAGGGTCGCACTGGGAAAATTATTATTTTGCGAGGGACTGTAACTCCGGGATCGTTGACCCATCGCTTTCTCATAGGGAAATTGGCCTTGGAGCGCATACACATATGATTCCATACTTATCGTCGAACCGCTTATTGTGAGAAGTTGAGCCAGTATGGCCTGTTGGGAGGGATTGAGCCTAGTGCGCAACCACGGCTGCTCAAATATTCTGTTCTCAGGATACGGAAACCTCTCGACTTGCTTCATGGCTTTGATGGGAACGAAGCTTCACCATTGCTGTAGCTCCAGCCGCGCAGCTGGGTTACCCCCAGGCTTGAACCCGAGAAGTAGACGGGGTAGTTGCCCAGGTAGATTTGTTCTTACATGGCCCATGCGACTGCCATCAGGATGGACGGGCACACTGAGACATCTGTAGTTATTTACACTTTGTCGCGTACGCGAGCGAGTAATAGCCATGAAGAGATTGAGGCGTGAAAGGCGGTCGAGGAGCTGTTCTGAGTGCGTGTGTGTGTGTTGATAGGAACAGGCAAAAACAAATCCTGTCGTGAAGAAGGCCTCGCGTGGTTCAGGAGTGTGCGCATCGAAGTATGCTTCCACCAGCGTTTCGCATCATGAGCGTGCTGCTCTTGCAAAGCTCGTGGGACGTGCCCTTCAGCGCGCTCCTAGGTCATCCCTCGTCAACCTTTCGCGGTTTTCACTACTCAATCGTCATGGAGGCCCCGTGCGAGGGGACGCCGCGCTCGGGCGGGGACGTAGTTCCAGGGGAGCGAGGCGCTCGTGGGATCGAGGATCATCCAGGCGAAGTGCGCGGGGGTGCGGGATAGACAGGACAACATGGTCTGAAGCGGAAGCGGTATTCTTAGGAATGTGAGGAATTACGGGGGATGCATTGCCATTCACACATGTTTTGTTCACGTGATGCCCATGCCTTGACGTCTGGAAACAGAGGAAGAGAGAGAGAGAGAGAGAGAGAGAAATGGGGAGAGAGCGAGAGAGAGAGCTAATGATTGGATGAGGGTGATGGGTATGATGGGGGAGGATGGAGGATGAGGGGGAGGAGGAGGAGGAGGAGGCGGAGGAGGAGGAGGAGACGAAGAGGGAGAAGAAGGATGTGACAGATCATAAACGCATTCGATCCTTCGATCGAACGACTGCACGATTCCTCAGTACGACTCGCAAGGCGACCGATCTCCTCCCCGGATGCGGTTCGATTCGACCAGTTCGAGAGTTCAAGCGATTCGATCCATCTGCGATCCATGGCTTCCTTTGGACAACCTGCCTCCACACTTCCTCCGAAGCCCGCGTGGCGTCCTCCTCGACCCGCCCGCGGCGCGAAAGGCAGGAGCGAGGCGCGCGACCGCGGCCGGAGCCGGCTGCTGGGACCCCGCCTGGCCCGCGCCAGACGCTTTCCGAGATCGTCAACACTCTGTCCGCGATGGCCCCGGTCGCGCAGGAGGGGCCCGCGGCAGCGGCGGCCTTGGGCGGTTGTTGCGATGCTCGAGGAAGAAACAACAGCATAAAACATAAGTTTTTCGTATGAACATAAACGTAAACGGCATGAACATACATTTAAACGGCATAAGCGGCATATAATAATAACAATTGCATGTAACAGAAAGTTTTGGCGCTCCGCGCGGATTCCTCGGATCCGCGCCGGGAGCCCCTTGGCGCGCTCCGCGCGCCAGGGAGGGGGGTCCGGCGCGGATCCAAGAAATCCGCGCGGAGCGCCAAACGTTTCTGTTTATGTGGTGTTTTCTTCTTCCAGATGCGACGGAGGAGCCTGGCAGAACCAGCAGGGTCGCTCAAGTCCTGCCCCTCTGCGGGTCGTTGAGGCTTGAGGGGGGGGGGGTCGGGCGGGGTTCGGGCGGGGATGAAGAGCGTCCCAGAGCGCTTCGGAACGGCCGCGTCGCCCGATGCATGCTTCAAAGCCGCCGGATCTCAGAGATCCCCGATTTTGTTCCCGTCCTGGACTCGTCTTACGTTCTCTGTTGCCGACCAGCCCAACGGCCGCCCCTTGGAGCCAGTGTGCCATCGAGCAGAGCCGCTCTGGCCAGGCGCAGGAGCCACCCACAGCGCGTGGATGCGGAAGCAGGGCGCGTCGCGGACTGCTATTTGGCCTGGCCCTCTCGGATTGCAGTGACGGCGTTGAGAGAAGGACCGCTCTGGGAGGAGGGGCTCTGGCCTCCTGGCTGTTCCGCAGCTCCAGGTGGGCGAACCTCTTCGTGGCCGAGGCCCGCCGCACGCAGAGAGCCCCGGACCGGCTGCCAGACGGGCGCGGCACGATGGGCAGACAGCAGCTGGGCACGCAGCCCGGCTCTCCTGGCGGCCGTGCGGGAGGAGCCAGGCACCCCCCGCACGCTCCTGGCGAGGCGCAGCCGCTGGAAGGCACCGCGAGCCTGGAGAGCCATCCAGGACCGACGAAGACGCCCGAGAGTCTCCCTCCTCGACCCCGAGGCGTTGCCCCCCGCCTGTGGGCGCCGCCGGAAGGCATCCCGATCCCGTGGAGCCACCCAGGACCGACGAAGACGCCCGAGGCATTCCCGCCTCGAGCCCGAGACGTTGCGCACGCGCTCCACCCTCGAACCAAAGACCTCCAGCCCGAACACCTCCAACCTCGAATCTCGAGCCCGAAAGCCTCCGACCTCCAGCCTCGAACCAGCCCTCCAGCCTCCCAGCCAGCGCGTGCGCGCGCGTGGCTCGCCTTCAGCGGTCCGTTCCGCCCCATGGCGGCACGCTGGCTGCCCCTCGTCGTTTTGCAGCCGTGCCGCCGGCCCTTCTCGTCGGCCCCCCCTTCCCTCCCCCCACCTCGCCTGCAGTATCCCCCCCCGCTCTCCCGCATTCCTCGTCCTGTTGAAAATTTGTGAGTGAGAGAGACAGAGGGAGAGAGAGAGAGAGAGGAAGAGTAAGACATTAGTTAGACACAGAGAGAGAGACGAAAAGAGAGAGAGAGAGAGAAAAAAAAAAAAAGCAGCAACAACAACAACAGCAGCAACAGCAACAACAACAATAATTCTAAGACTGTTCGCTCTTACTTGCCCGCGTGTCATTCAAAACGAGTTCCCCACACCCTCGATACCCGCTCTTTTGGTTTCCGATCGCCCCCCCTTTGGGGGGATTCTTTCTCATTGCGGGGGGCGGCGGGCTTAAACAGGCGGGCGCACCTGAACGGGCGGACAATCCTTCGTGGGCGTACATATGCCCGCCATTGGAATTGGTGTGGGCCCTGCAAAAAGAGGAGGGGGAGAACGAGGGAGAGTGGGAGGAAGGGAGGGGGAGGGACGGGGGAAGAGGGAAAACGCCAGGAGAGAAGGAGCGAAGAGGGGGACGGTTGATTAGAGGCAGAGAGAGAGAGAGAGAGAAAAAGAGAGAGAGAGAGAGACAGAGAGACAGAGAGACACAGACAAATACATACATATAGGAGAGGTAGAGAAGAGAGAGAGAGAGAGGGGGGGGAGAGAGCGAGAGAGAGAGAGAGAGAAACAAACAAACAAACAAGAGGGAAGGAGGAGGCAGGAGAGGGGAGGGAGAAAGGAGGAGGGAGAGGAGGGAGAGGGGATAGGGCAGAGAGGCATAACGATGAGGGATGAGAGGAGGGAGAGAGAAGGGAGGAGAGGAGGGAGGAGGGAGAGGGAGGAGGTGCAGGAAGGTAAGGGCGTGAACGTTCGAGGAAGTCCTGGGCGAAAACGCCGTTCCTGAAGGAAGTCCCGGGCGGGAGCCCTCGACGGGCGGGCGATCCGTTGACGGGCGGGTCGGGCGGGTGGGACATTCAAGCGGGATGCCTGACTATGGCGAGAGCGCGATTACTAAGTAAATTGTAACGGCGTCCTTGGCGCAGCGTGTTTCCTGAATGTCGAAAGCGCGATTTCTGAATACATTGCATGGAAGTCGCAGGCGAGAGCGCAATTCCTGAATGAAATGTGAGAGGCTCTCTGGCGGGAGCGGGGGTTTTGATTAGATTGCGAGGAAGTCTTGGTTCAATTACGAGGAACTCTCAAGCGGGAGCGCCTTTCATGAGTAAATTGTGAGGAAGCCTCAGATGGGAGCGGGGGTCCTGACTAAGTTGCGAGGAAGTCACAGGCGGGAGCACCGAGCCTGAGTAAATTGTGAGGGAGTCTCAGGAGCAGGGGTCTTGAGTAAATTTGGAGGAAGTCTCAGGCGGGAGCTGAAGTTGTTATTGTAATCCGGGGGGCCAGGGGCACAGTTTGAGCACCAAGACTTTCCCTATCGAAAAACAGGGTGCGAGCGTCGATGGGCACACTTTGATGGAGAAAAAACAGCACGCACCCGTGATGGGGGGATCGGCAATAATTATTACTTAACAGCGAAGACTGATAGGTTTCTAATGGTTTCAAAAGAAAGCATCTTGACTCCTCAGGGGGGTCTGGGCAGACGCCAGACGGGTGCCGGGGAGAATCCGCGGAAATCGCTTTAAGCAAACAGTTACACACTTCGTGGTCTTCGAGGTCCCAGAACTCCATTCCCGGGCCACATTCTGAATGCCCGGAGCCACTTGTAGGCCACTTCGTGCTCTTCGAGTTCCCAGAACTCCATTCCCGGGCGACATTTTGAATACCCGGAGCCAGCTGTAGGCCATTTCGTGCGATTCGAGTTCCCAGAACTCCAATCCCGGGCCACATTTTGAATGCCCGGAGCCAACTGTAGGCCATTTCGTGCTCTTCGAGTTCCCAGAATTCCATTCTTGGGCATGATTTTGAATGCCCAGAGCCAACAGTAGGCCATTTCGTGTTCTTCGAATTCCCAGAACTTCATTCCCGGGCCACATTTTGAATGCTGAGGCAGGCTGATGCTGAGGCTGAGGCAGGCTGAGGCTGAGGCAGGCTGAGGCCGAGGCTGAAGGCAGACTAAGGCTGAGGCTGAAGCAGGCTGAGGCTGAGGCTGAGGCATGCTGAGGCTGAGGCTGAGGCAGGCTGAGGCTGAGGCTGATGCAGGCTGAGGCTGAGGCAGGCTGAGGCTGAGGCCGAGGCTGAAGGCAGACTGAGGCTGAGGCTGAAGCAGGCTGAGGCTGAGGCTGAGGCAGGCTGAGGCTGAGGCTGAGGCAGGCTGATGCTGAGGCAGGCTGAGGCTGAGGCTGAGGCTGATGCAGGCTGAGGCTGAGGCAGGCTGAGGCTGAGGCCGAGGCTGAAGGCAGACTGAGGCTGAGGCTGAAGCAGGCTGAGGCTGAGGCAGAGGCAGGCTGAGGCTGAGGCTGAGGCAGGCTGATGCTGAGGCAGGCTGAGGCTGAGGCTGAGGCTGATGCAGGCTGAGGCTGAGGCTGAGGCTGAGGCTGAGGCTGAGGCTGAGGCAGGCTGAGCTGAGGCCGAGGCTGAAGGCAGACTGAGGCTGAGGCTGAAGCAGGCTGAGGCTGAGGCAGAGGCAGGCTGAGGCTGAGGCTGAGGCAGGCTGATGCTGAGGCAGGCTGAGGCTGAGGCTGAGGCTGATGCAGGCTGAGGCTGAGGCAGGCTGAGGCTGAGGCCGAGGCTGAAGGCAGACTGAGGCTGAGGCTGAAGCAGGCTGAGGCTGAGGCTGAGGCAGGCTGAGGCTGAGGCTGAGGCAGGCTGAGGCTGAGGCAGGCTGAGGCTGGCTGAGGCTGATGCAGGCTGAGGCTGAGGCAGGCTGAGGCTGAGGCCGAGGCTGAAGGCAGACTGAGGCTGAGGCTGAAGCAGGCTGAGGCTGAGGCTGAGGCAGGCTGAGGCTGAGGCAGGCTGAGGCTGAGGCTGAGGCAGGCTGATGCTGAGGCCGAGGCTGCAGGCAGACTGAGGCTGAGGCTGAGGCAGGCTGAGGCTGAGGCTGAGGCTGAGGCAGGCTGAGGCTGAGGCAGGCTGAGGCTGAGGCTGTGACTGCGACTGCCGTTGCCACTGCGACTGTCATCGCATATGCGACTACGACTGCGAGAACAGCAGCATTCTACAACTGGATTCTCATCTGAATCGTAAGGGGAATGCTTCCAGATATGCTCCTACACATCGCTGTTCGGTTGCTTTGCCGGGATATTTGTTTCAGAAGTGCGAGTTCAGCCACAACAACAGTTACAGCAGCAGCAACAACAATCATGTTACGACAGAGTGTTCTTATTTGATCGCGTGCCACGCAACACGTATATCCCAAACCCTCGAGATTCGCCTTCTTTGTGTTCGACCGTGTCCCCTCGGGGGTATATCTTCCTTACCTGCCGCGCACACTTAGCGCAGCCCCTAAAACAGGGGGAGGACGGACGGGGGGAAAAAAGGATGGACCACGCGAGAGGGCGTCTCGGAGCAAATCGTGAAGAAGCGTCGAGCGGGATCCCTTGTCATCGCGGCTGCGTCCCCACTAATTTGATTGAGTTGCGAGGATGTCCACAGCGAGAGCGCTGTTCCTGAGTTCGGGAACCTCTCTGGCCAGGGCCTCCCATATCGCGAGGGAATATCGAGCGGGGGCCTGGTCGTCGCGGTTGGGCGTCCGCGAACTGGATTG